TTAATATTTTTTCCCTGTAAAAGCCTTTCCCATGATCGCCCATGTGCTCTGTTATTCTTCAATCTTCCCCTTCCATATTCTATCGCTAGGGGTTTATTTTTTTGGTCCAACAACTCCAAATTTTTAATTTTGTGTTATTCTTTTATTTAATTCACGTTGTCGATATATATTATTGAAATGTAATTGTAATATCTTTTATTTATAATCTAAATGTGCTCATATATATCTTCACATCAATTTTGATTTATAAAAATAGTTTGAAGCTCCAAACTCATCATTGTAATGTTGCATTCTTTAAAAAAATTGGAGGAAGAGAAAAAATCTTTTGATCGGATTAGGTTGTCTACTTTTTAAATTGTCATCGATCAAATTATAACAATATTGCTTATTTTTAAGTAAAATATACTTTTAATCCATAAAGTTTGGACTTAACTTCTCTTTGTTGTATGTGTTAAAAATCATCATTTTTTATAATTGAGTTTTAAATTAAGTTTTAATTTAATCCTTAAAGTTTAAAAAATAACATGTTTGGTCTCACACACCCTTTTGGTTAGAGATATGTGCTAATTACCGCTGAACAATGTCACTTGGACAATTATTAAACAATATATTTTCAAAATATTTGACAAAAAATGAAGAAAACTGAAATTGGATGAACAGATCTGGACAACGTTTAATTGGGCTAGTCTCCAGACTAGGCCCAATGATAAGTAGCATTACGGGCCAGCTTAGGCATGGCCGTGGCCCAAGACAAAGCCCACCAAAGAACTTGACATTTTGTGAGCGACTCGTTTAGAAAATATCCCAACGGGACCGACTCATCGAGCAACCAGCAGAGGCGATTAGTCAACTAATCGCCAAAAGGGATCGATGCCGAGCATCTCGAACCTATATTCGATTCAAGAAATCTCACACCACAGTTCCAACGACGACTGTTGGATTGTTATCGATGGCAAGGTACGTCCCTCGCTAATATTCGTCGTCTTATATCAGTTCTGTTCTTCGTCCTCTTTATTTGTTTGCTGTATGATTCGTGAGCAATTTACTCTCTGGGTCTTTTTGGGTTATGCTCGTTTCAGTGGTATTTGTGATTCTACGTGATGCAATCTGATTCTGGAGGGAATTGTTGTGAAAGAGTTCGCTAACTTCAATCATCAGATTAATCTAATTTAACTTTTATGAATCCAATTTGTACTGTTGGTCGACTTTTTAGGGTGGATGATGGGGGAATGGGGTGGGGATGTGATAGTTTGACTCGCATTAGCATTCAGCTGATGCTGAAATTGGGCTAAGTTTGTCACTGTGATGATGGGAAAATAATTAGACAGTCTTATTGTTTGATGGTATTTGTGGGTTATCTGGAATTTAGGCAACTGGTTATTATGATAGTTATAATTGTAATTGCTAAGGATTAAGACATTAATCTAATTAAGTCCTGTTTAGGATTAAGCAATTATATTATCAATATAGGTCTGACTTATAAACTTTTTTTAAGAGTTTTTTTCCTAGTACAACATTAGAATTTGTTTAAGAGTGGATAACTGAGACAGTTTAATGGCTTGGCTTTTGTATGTTATGGGGGGAGAGTGGAGATAACTGGATAGGAAATATGAGAAGAAAAATGGAGGATGGCGTAGAGAACCCAAGCATACGGCTCACACACGGATCAATAGATTTAATGCTCAATTAATTCTCACGTCAAAGTTCTAGAAATTACAATGAAAAAGTTAGGGGTTCTAGTATGAATTCAAAGAAGACTAAAAGTTTCAATATCATATTAGAACTTTCTATACTGGTGTTTGAATCTTTGAACTTGTTGGATGTGACGATTTCAATGATTTGTTGCTTTGAAATTCTTGAGATTATATTGATGTTTAAGTTGCATCTTTGAGACTATGGTCTATTTCCACAATCTTTCTGAAATTTTTATACTCATTTTCTTTATATTTCTCTTCGTAGATTTTCAATCATGTCATCTATTTTGTCAAAAGTTTGAAAATTGTTTTCATAAAGGTTTTAGAGTTTGGAAAGGAGTAGTTGTTTTTTGTCACTCGTATTTTTTCTAGCTCAGCATGGTCCATTGTTTTGACATTATAATAAAATTCAGGTCCATTACTCAATTCATCAACAATAATATTTGCCTAACCATCATGTTTGTTATCTTCTACCCTATTTTCTTTTGAGACGATGCATTCCAACATTTCTTTAAAATGACGTTCTATCATATTTTAGGTATACGATTTGACGTCATATTTGGACGAGCATCCTGGTGGAGATGATGTTATTCTTGCAGCAACTGGTATTCTTGTGCTTTCTTATGGATTATTCCCTCCTAAAAATTTGAACACTGATAGACTTATTTTTTTCCCATCAAAGGCAGAGATGCCACAGATGACTTTGAAGATGCCGGCCATAGCAAAGACGCAAGAGAACTGATGCAGAAGTTCTATATTGGTGAGCTTGATGCATCTTCTTCAGCAATCCCAGAACTCAAAACGGAGCAACTCGACGATTATGCAGCTCGGGTTCAGGGCTTGGCAAAGCAATACTGGGCTGCTCCTGTTGCAATGCTTGGTATTTCTGTGGTAATTGGCTGGTTATTCTTGCGCAACAAATGATAGCAACACTGCAATTTTAAGGCTGTTGGCTTGTTCAGTTAGAGAGTTGGCACATTTTTGCTTCTTAGAAAATTTAAAAATTTTGAAACTTTCAAAATTTTCAGACAGTGATAGGGTTTTGATTCCTTTGTACTGTAGAAGAGAATTTGTTCTTGTTGAGAAGATGCAGCCCAGGTCAGTTAGTTCACTGGTAGATCTGTGTTTTGTTTCCATTGTTTCATTGGACCATGTAGCTTGATCTTGAGAAATTATTATTAGCAGAACTTAAAAAAAAAGTTATTTTAGTTTGAAATATGGGGTTTTAGTAAATTCTTGCATTATTGTTTTGAACTCGTGGGCAAAATAAATAATTTAAAAGTTTTAAGAATTAAAATTAAATATTTGAAAGTTTTTGGGACCAAAATAAAATAAATAGAGCAAATAATTAGCATATTGCAATTTTGTACCACTTGAATTATTTATAAAATTACTAATGCAAAAAAGTATTTATTCGATTTATAAATTTTATATTTCARTTAAGAAATAAGATGTTTTATTTGATCTATTAAAAATAACATATGTTTTAGTTGTTATGAGAATGATTTCATTTTTGTATTGCTTTTTGATAATAATAACTGATGTTATTCAACAGTTTATCGAACATTATGTAAAAGTTCCCACTTATCCAAAAGAACACTCCTACTAATGGTTATTTTGTGGGATATTTTGAGAATTAGATTTAACAATCTTACTGACAAATAACATCTTTAGATTATAAACTCAAAAAATCAAAAATCATCAAGAGCATAAAAAACTAGTATCTAAACTCGTAATTCAAATTACTTAATGATTAATACTACCTAGATGACTCTAACATGCAAAGCTTAACATGTAGTCTTATATAAATGAAAGAACGAGCAAATTAAATTTCGGTCCTGAGGAGGGAGGTGAGTATTTGACTTTGATTTTACTTTGACTTGTTTTAAATTACATGACTTTAACTTTAATGAAATTGACTCTAAATTACCTTAGAAAATTCGCACCAAATTATAGTAAATTGTTCCAACATCTTCAAATCTTCCTTTTAACTCTGATGTCAACCTCATCAGTACTTAAACACGATGCAACGAGGTTCGTTGAAATTTCTTTGATGTTGTAATCGGACCTTAAAGACGTAAAAGGCCGAAAAATTACGAAAATAGCCCACAAGTTCTAGAAATCGTGTAGGCCCAAAATTTCCTCGAGCAGCCCAGAAACACAACAAGCCCAAAAGGCCCAAAACACAATAACAAAAATAGAGAATTACAGAGAAAAAGAAGACGACGAAGAATCTGAAGAAACGCCTCTAATGGCGCAGCAAGCTGTTCAGAAGAACACGCTGTACGTCGGTGGTTTGGCGGAGGAGGTGAACGAGTCAATTCTACACGCAGCCTTCATACCCTTCGGCGACATCAAAGACGTCAAGACTCCATTGGATCAAGCCACTCAGAAGCACCGTTCCTTCGGCTTCGTCACTTTCTTGGAAAAGGAAGACGCATCCGCCGCCATGGATAATATGGACGGTGCTGAGCTCTACGGTCGCGTCCTCACTGTCAACTACGCCCTCCCTGAACGTATCAAGGGTGGTGAACAAGGATGGGCCGCCCAGCCTAGTGAGTTCCCCCATTCTTTAAACCCTAATAATTTTCTTCATTTGAATCCCTGTATTTCTGAAGTTTCGTTTGTGTTATATCTTCTCTTTTACTTCTTAATTTGTGCTCTTTGTTCAGTACTAAAATTCCGAGGCGTATTTGATAACCAGTGTTGATTATGTGCTAAATTTATGCTTGTAATAGGAATCATTGTATTTGATAGACAATGGCTGGCTGTTTTGGTGGATGTTTATAGGCTCCCATGTATTTAGTTTTGTTACTTATATTCTAAATGTTCAATTTTCATTCTCACAATTTCAAATGTTTTGTTTATGTAATAATAATTCTAGACCAACCGTTTTCAAATTCGATAATAGATCAAGTACATGTATCATAAAGCACAAATCCGGATGCTCTACAGGTGTCTAAAAACAAAGACTGAAATGGGTTTTTATGCAGAGTTCAGAGAAGGGAGCAGAGTTAAATTATATGAAAACTAAAATTGGGTTAATGTGAAAGTTGATGACCAAAATAAGATTTGTACCTTTCAAATATTTTCCGTTCCCTAGTTGAATCCTTAGCACTTCGATGGATTTCGATATGTTCATATGTGTAAAAGCAAACTCTGGAGAGTTATACTGCAGCTATGAAATCAAACATTACATAACATTTTGATTTTTTGTATCTCATATTCTTATTTAAGCGTTATGATGGTTATATTTGGTTTATATTTCAGTTAATTTAGGAGATAGGTCTTCCCAAGACAAGTTTTCGAAATTATATTAGGCTTTGGACGCAGTCGTTTTGGGTCTAATTTAGGTTCTAAAAAACACCTGCCTTGGTTGCTGATTTGTGATTTCCTTCAGTTGATGTAATAAAGAATTGAATTGCATGCTGGTATTCTCTTCCATTTCCTTTACTGTTCTTTTGTTTCTCTTTTTCCCCAATTTTCCCGCGTCCTCCTGCATTATCACTACTTGTTCTGCATCTTTTGTTAGAAAAAGTTTGAGTATTGAGTGAATAAGGTTTTACTGCATGTTTATTACTGAATGGCTGGCTAGTCTGATTGTCTCAACTTCTTGGAATTCAGAACATATATGTTGTCGATAGTGATTATGAATTATTAATTGGTATAAAGGTCTTCTCTGCCTACTAGAATTTATTACCCTTGTTTGATTCTCTTTGATTGTTGTATACTCCTCCCTATTTCACTAGATGATTTTGTATGGTTGAGTTACATCGGATTAGTGATCTTGCAAATGGGTCTAAGTGTGTGTGTTCGCCCCTCTTCTTGTTGTAACTGAATAAATGGTATCATTCAATGCTCTAGTTTGGGCGGATGCGGATACATGGTTTGAAAGGCAGCAACAAGAGGAGGAAATGCAGCGCATTCAGGCCGAGAATCGAGCTGCTATGCAGGCTGCTGAGGAGCTTCATAGGAAGAAACTAGCCCAGGAGCGGGAAGGGGAAAAAGAAGACGAAATTGACACCAAGGATGATCCCATGGCCAAGGCTGAAGCTGAGGTTTTAAGACAGAACAGTTAAAGAGGTACACTTCATTTAGATTGAGCTTGTGCCGATTCAAGTGAGATTGAGAGAGGGAGAACATCGAAAACCTGCCAAGGACCAAGATGTATGTTAGCTTACGAATTGTTCTCTTTCTGTAGGCATAGTTTGATAAGCAGGAAAATGATTACCTTTTTCGAAACTTCGTTGTAATATTATTGGAAGAATGGCTAGAAGTAGGAATTTTCAATGCGACAGCAACCTTTCTTGCTCACAGGCATGCAGATTAGAAGGAGAAGCCATGCCTAGATACAATATGTTCTGACTTCTGAATTCAAGTTATAGTCCAAGTTCAAGAGGGTAGTCCAGCTTTTGTGGATGCATTATAGTAGATTTGTTTTTCCCTGTTGACAATATTGTAGAATTTGATTCAGATGATTACTAAGATATATTTTAAGTTTTTAAACTTGGAATTTCAATATTTGACTAACATCTCGATATTATATTGGGTTTCAAATTTCCTGTAAACAAGAAAATCCAAGATTTGGATCAGAGGGAAGACTCGGTTTAAATTGGAAGTCCTAGGTAGCTTTCGATTAGGATGTTCGACTTATGGTTTTAATTAGTCTAACTTTTTATAATCTATATTTGAATTGTAGAGATAAAAACGAAATATCCTACGAGTTTCTTTATCAATCAAATATAGTAGGGTCAGGTGGTTGGTTCGTGATTAGTCGAAGTATGGTGTATACACGGATATTAAGGGAAAAAATTGCTCAATTAATTAATTATAGAAATACGAATTTGTGTGACTTATATTCGGTACGGGAAATTATGATTTATAGAAGCTAGCATGTGATGCTAGATGTGAGTTTTAGAAACTCGAGTTTATATAAGTTTGTGTGATCTACAAAGTCCATGAATAGGACATGTCGACTCACATTCCAAATGTGTGCTCAACATTTTAATGTTAAATTACTTAACTCTAACTTATGAATTAAATATATTTTGAGTTTATATAAGTTTGTGTGATCTACAAAGTCCATGAATAGGACATGTCGACTCACATTCCAAATGTGTGCTCAACATTTTAATGTTAAATTACTTAACTCTAACTTATGAATTAAATATATCTTGAGTTCTTTTAGGATCTTTTTACTCGTAATTTATTAAAGGCTTTTGTTTTAACACATTTTTAGTTAAGTTCATCGCTCAGGATCAAGTTATAAAGGTTATATCATTCTCTTAAGAAGCAATATTTTTTTCCTCACTATTAGGTAGGATGGAAAAAATGCACCAATCAAACTTATATCGAATAACATGTCACCTAAACGTCTTGTCTTAACCTATAAAAAAACTCGAGAATTGAATATGATTGAAAATTAAAAAGCAAAAACCATCCAAACACGTCTCTATTACAAGAGAATAAAATGTGTATTTGGAAAGAATAAAATCAGATTATGTTTGAATGCAAGTAAATGGTTTCTTAATCATCAAAAGCTAATTAAGCAAAGCATCCACGTGATATTAAACTATGACCAACCACTTCAAATTTCTTTTCTAATCTTAAGAAAAGAAAGAGAAAATTAATAATTTCAGAAATTTGGAATATTCGATGCCCAAAAAACACCAGAAAAGAACAACCCTTTTTTTTTTTCCATACATAAATTATATGTTTGTCTTTACATATATAAATATAATTATAATTATAATGAGCCGCCGGCAGCAACGAAACATGGCTTGAATGGGTCACTCACTTTTGCTTCTACTTAAGATATGATTCTTTAAACACTTGAAAAAAAGTTATAATCTTTGTTTTTCTTTTCAAATTTTGCCATTAAGATTTGTACATCTTTTTATCTACTTCACAAATCAATTCTTTATAGGTCTCTCTTTTTTGATATGGGATGATCTATAAATAGAGAGTATCATAGTTTATAAAACGGGTTTGTACATTCCGTTTTATTTTATTAAACTATTTTCTTATTCTATATTTACTCTCTATCAAATCATGCCCAAATCAGCAAATTTTTATTCAAAATTATGATCCCCACTTCACTTGTACCATTATTGGAAGAAGAAAAGAAGAAAAAAAAAAGATAGTTGACCAAAAATAAGAAATTTGGGTATGACTTAGTTTTTAACCTCCCAAATTGCAAAGTAATTTTGAGTGTAACTAAGAAAGTAGGGAGAATCTTTGACAAACAGAAGATGAAGCTTTTCTTTTTTCCTTTTAATTCGATTTATACAGTTCCCTTATGTTCAATAATGTATTTTCAGTGGAAATTAAGTTGCCAAATATTACACTTGTAAATTAAATTGACCAAAAATAAGTGCTATGAAGTATGAGCTTGATTATCTTAAATCTTGGTAAGTGTATGATGTAATATTGTTGAATGGTAACAAGTGTGATTAATAAAATGGAATAAGCATTAGTGATTTTGACAAGCACGGATAGCCAATCAGTGAATGATAGTTCTTCGCTATGATAGTGGACGACTGATTATAATCACAATCGCGATCACGCTCTCATATTTTATTGGTTGCAGAACTTGAAATAATTTTTGACTATTTACTAAGAAAGTTACTTCTCCTTGTTACAGTCTCATCTTCTATTTTTTTCTACTAAAAGAAAATGAAATAAATCGGTTTCATGCCTTCAAAGACACGAGTGTAATAGCAACTTACCACTTATGTAATGATTGAGGATGAAGAAGAATATAGATTCATATCCTATATATATGGTCTATAAATTCTAGAGTAGCCACTTAATTATTTCAAACTTTCATTACTTTCCAACGCATGAAAAGTATAAAATCAACTTAATTGCAATGAATTAAAGTAAACGTACATATACTTTTACACTTGGCCCACTGTTTCGTGTGACAATATATTTGCAACAATAGAATATTTTGCACAAGATCCAACTACACTAAGATAAACTATGAGAAGATATTGTGTCAAGGATTCATTTTTTCTTTTCAAAATCTTGTTCAGATTTGAAAATTTGTATAAAAAAATAGGAGATCATAGTAGTCCATGTCATACCATATTAACATTCATGGGTTCCCTCTCAAAACCAATTGACAATTATAAACCATGTTAGGTCTCCAAGTATTTTTCGAAAAGAATAAAGGCCTATAAAATACTGTCAAAAGATAGGTATAAAAGAGAAAATGACTAAAAGGGTAGCGGAAGCAAAATCGAGTAAAATTGTGTATATATAAATGAATTGATTAGAATACTAGGAGAATCAAACAAAAGGGGAAAAAAATATACGGGTAGCTATGAATAATTTATAATGGGGGATGAGAATCAATTGATGGTAAAGAAATATCATTTGCATCCAAGTTTTTACCGAGGGAGGAAAAAGGTTCTATTCCTTTTCACTAAAGAGGGGAAAAAAAGGTTAATATTTATATCTTATTCATTCTAAATTTTTTACCCGAGATGATTTATGAGACGTTAGCTAGCTAGAGTTAGGTGGTACGAACAACAATAATATTAATAATTATTATTATTTTCTAAATAGAGTATGATGCTACTTAATTAAATATTGTTTGAAGATGTTATTTATTATTAGAGTTGCATGTCTCCCATGGGTCGAGGGAAGATTTTTAGTACTATAAATAACGAATATATGTATGTCTTTGTTGGGATGAAATTGAATAATTTTAGAATAATGTATATATTTTGTTTTGGAGAGTGGATTCTTATTCTTTTATGATTGGAAAGAGAGGTGGGATCAACATACATATATTCTGTGTAAGTATCAGAAATTAAAGGGGCAAAGATTTATTCCAAAAATAAAATAAATAAATAATAATAATATAAGCAATTACTATAAGAATCTAATTCCACTTTTAATTGTTTGGTTTGGGAATCACTTCAATCCAACATTTCTCATTCCTTCCCATCCATTCTATTCTTTTATTTGTTATTTGTTATTTTTATTTTTCAAAATCAACTGCTTTGTTATTATTATTATTAATTGAACTATATTTTTATCACTTTGATTTCAATCAAACTCTAAACTAGAATTTAATACAAAAAGTAAATCCTACATTTCAACTAATTTAGGTATTGAAAATCTTGGTTAAATTTCCAATCATGATCTGGTTCTTTTGAATTTGAATTTGAATGTTATTAAAAAAAAATGTGAATCTTGTGAACTTGCATGTAAAATTAACAATAATTTGAACCAAGAATAAAGTATACCAAAACATAGAGATTCAATCTTAAATTTGGTGGAGATTTGATCTTTCATTCGTTTAGTTAAGATTATATATTTTAACCAGTAATATGATTAAGTAAACTTTGCATAAAATACTCCTAGTAATAGAGAAAGTCCATGAAAGTTAATGGACTACAAAATTAATAATTACATATAAATGAACATGACTTCAAAATACACTATTGGTCTATAGATTAGCCTAATTTGTGCATCATCACAACCAAAACCCTAAAATAGCATAAAAAGACATCAAGTTCTACTATTAAATTCAATCTAATCACATTATAATGCTATTGCTTACTTAGAAATTTGCATATAGTGAAGGAATCAACTTGATTTCATAGACTTTCCAACAACAACATAAACATAAAAGAGAGAATAAAGGGTTTTTACAGGAAGCATGAAATTCGATACCACATGTCTTTCAAACTAACCCTAAAACCCTAACCAACCACACAATAAGAGACACTCATCTTCTCATTACAACAACACTTAGAACAACTTCTATTCTTTTCTTCAACAAAAACAAAAAAGGAAAAAAAAAAACTCAATTTTCTTGGTCCTCCTGCCATTACCAATGGACAAATGGAGCCTTCTGCCTCCGCTACTTTATTCATTCTTATCTTCAACCAACCCTACGAATAGCTTTGCAAACCAATGGAGTTTTCATTTCCAGAGAGAGTTTAAGGCATTCTGACAAGTCCACCCCCTTATTAATAGTGCCATCCTCAGAAGAAGGAAGCCATTTGTAGGTTTGGAGTAGCTCCCCCAACCAGAGTTGCACAGTCGCCATCCCCATTGCTTTCCCTGGACAGACCCTTCTCCCTGCCCCAAACGGAGCCAATCTCAGATCACTCCCCATCACACTCACCTCCTCCCCCATAAATCGATTCGGGTCAAACTTCTCTGGCTCCGCC